AGAACAAGGTTGATCTAAATGAATGGCGAAACAGGAGAGATAACAAATAGGTAAAAGTTATTAAATGAAACAAAGGACGGGAAATTGTGGAGAACCATGATCGCCAACGTCCTGAAGGGATACGGTATATAGAAGAAGAACTAGTTCGAGTAAAGAAATGACGGAACAGGGGTTAGAAGAGTTGACAAAAAGATAAAATTTATTAAGTATTAAGAGCTACAAAGGGCGGGAAATTGTGGAGAGCCATGATCGCCAACGTCCTGAAGATGAAGAACTAGGTTAAAAAAAATGAATCGCAGAACAGGGTTTAGGAGTGAGAAAAATGGCAAATTTTAAGAAGAGCTACAAAGGATAGGAAATTGTGGAGGGCTATGATCGCCAACGTATAGCAAATAGGACTTGTTCCATACTAAAAGATTATTATTATTATTGCTGTAAAATTTATTTTAGTGGATATTCCTATTTAAGTAGACATTCCCATTTTGTTTTTAACAACGAAATTAATGACTAGCTGCCTATCTCTTCGAAAGTCTTATTAAAGAGAATGTATCACTTGTCGCGTTAGAAAGCAACAACAGCCTACTGCGGGAATACCTTCTGCCTAGACGGTCGTGAATCGAGAGAGACCTGATCATCCAAGCGTATGTATCATGTATGGCACTTGACTTTAATTATCACTCAGCTGGGGTTGACATATGTGTGTATATATGTACGTATATATGTATGTTACGGACGTGTGGCCGATTGGTTAGATATGGATGTGTGGCCGAGTGGTTAAAACGTTCCCTTTCCCGAGGGTCTATTTGGGCTATAGAGTAGTTTCACGGTGGAGGCTTGTATTTCACTAAGTCGGTCCTAAAAAGGTTCGACGTACAAAACGTTAGGAACTTGAAATAATAGTTAATGACGCAGCAATCTACTTGATACTTTAATGTCCGACATCGACTGACTCACCAACTCACTGGCGACTGCTACTACTACTACTTATTATAGGTGGGAGAGTCTATTAACTATAGAATAGGTGTGTTCCAGTATAACATCCCCCCCCCCCTAAAACTTTACTCCGTAGGAGTAAAAGTTTTATTTATTTATTTTTCATTTTTTACGGGAAATATGAAGAAAAAAACAATTTTTTTTTTTTAGCAACATCGTAGAGTATTTCCTACGTTTTTTGATGCACTTTTAAATGATCAGTTGCCTTTTTTTTTCTTCTGGACCAACGTACCTCAGGTAAAATTGTTGCAGGCGTTGTTAGATCAAACGTATTGCAAATCACCTCCATCGGCGTTTTTTTCCGCGGGACCGCTGTCACCCACATCTGAAAAACGTCGTCTGATCTGGTTAATGCACGTGAGTTTTTCCCCTTTCACCAAGTACATCATATAGCCAATCCGCTTTTCTATTTTTTTTATACCTCCATAGTGTTACCAGAAACAACCTTCCGCTTTGCGCTTCTTAAGGATGGAGTCACAGTTTCTGTAGGTTCTTGTTGTTCAGACTTAAATCATTTAATTGTACTGCACGTCGTTTTCTTGGCTGCGGGTAAATCTTTAATTCCTGCATGTTTTTCTCGGTTTCGATTTCATCTTTACTTTCTGGAGCTTGTTTTTCACATATATCGTCGGTGTTACCCATTCAACTTTTTTAAATACACCGGTTTTCTCTAATCTGTCCACTTCTTTATCTCTTTTCAATTGAAGAAAACAGTACATTCCTTTTCTTTTTGAATACCGCCTGAGCGTTTTGTTTTGGCTGTAATTTTGCCTCCATCTTGGTACACGTTCCCAAAAAAAACAGTAGGAAAAAGTTCCCTTAAGTTTCTTTACTAATTTTTGGGCTTCGTAGTTTAAAAAATCTACCTTGTAACAGAAAGAATTTATCGGTAGATCCCATAATTGAAATTCTGTTATCCAATTCGTACCAAGTAAGTTTGTGGTATTTCCTGTGACAAATAGTTTAGCTTTTCGCGTTTTTTTTTTTAACGTGACGTTTGTAACAAATTCTCAATAAATTGTATTCTTTCTCCCGTCACTGACCTCGCGATATTCTTTGTCTTCATTAAAATTGGTTTCCCCAACTTCTCCCACGTATGCAAATTTATGATAGATAGGTCGGAACCAGTGTCGAGTTGCAATTTTATTTTTTTATTACTTATTTCGACGGTAAAAAATTTTCTGGTTATTCCATCGTTCACCTCGTCGGACTTTAATTTTCTTATTTTATTGTCTTTTTTTTTTTTTGACCTGCAGTGCGAGCTTTTATGACCCACTCTTTCACAGTTGAAACATTTTTTTTATTCCTAAAATTGCAATATCTGTACCAGTGAAGTTCACCGCAAGCAAAACATGGTTTCGGGAGTTTTTGTTTATTTTTTTCTGGTATTTCACTTTTTGTTTGATAATTCGCAATTTTAGAATTCTTTATGGTTGACTGACTTTCTTTTTTGTAGCGTATTTTCCTTACATGCAAAACGCCAGACTGTTCTATCTTTTTCGAATCTTTCTTTACGCTAACATATCTTGTGCAGTCTTCTGCCAAACTCTGTATCGAAATTCTTGGTTCGTTTTCAAATTTTGATAGTACAAATTTCCTCAACTTTGCTTCTCTTTCCGATACCAGTCCTTGAACAAACACTAAACACTTAAAGTTGTCAGCGCTTAACTCTGCTAGCTTGCATTCTTCACAATGCTTATTCACATTGGCTGCGTACGTTATATAGTTTTGTTCTTCATCTTTCATCAGATTCAAACATTTCCACCTCTTGTGAAACAAAGATGTCTCTTACTAAATATTTCACTTAATATATTTACCGCCTCGGTAAATGTCAACTCGCTAATTTTATTCGGTATAATGTAGTTTACTAATTTGTTATGCTCAGCAGTTCCTTACTTGCTTAAAAGAAGTGTCTAACCTTCTTTCCTTCAGGCCACGTGTGGCAGTCCTCGTTATATACGTCCGTATATTTTTTATAATGCTCTTCAAAATTTATCTCTTCATCCGGACTGAACGTGAATATTTCAGTTGAATTCAATATTGTATTCTCTGGGAAAGAAACATTTCGTAGATTTTTCTCTTTCCTCTTCTCAGTTATTTCCAGAATTTTGTTTTGATATTCGTTATGCATCAGTTCCATTTCTCGTTGAAACTGCATCTGTCTTTTAAAACTTTCCTCCTGTAGTTGCATCTGGAATGTTTTCTGTTTCTCTAATATTGTCATCTGTTGTTCCGTCTGGAACTTAAAAAAATCCTGGAATATATTTTTGCATTCCTCCATCTTCGCAAAAAGTTTACACAATGCTTAAATATTGTAGAGGGGGATCCAAAACGAATTTGCAATTCGTGACCTATTTAAGCAAACTGTCTTATCGAGAAAAAAAATTCTTTTCTCAGTTGAGAATACGACTGATTTTTTTCGTCACTAAGTTGACGTCTTGTCTTTCGAAAAATTTTGCCAAGTTTTTTTTTTTACTCTTGTCTTTCGAAATACTTTGCCATTTTTTTTTTTTAATGTGAATCCGAGATGTTGTCGCCGAAAATTTGACGAGCAAGTTTTTTTTTCTTTTTCCTCCGTATGAGTACAAATTTCGTCACCCAAAATAATGTGGCGAGCCAATTTTTTTTTCTTTCACCGTATGAATCCGAATCCCTCGTACGCAAAATTTGTTATGGCGGGTGAATTTTTTTATTCGACCGTATGAGTTCGAATCCTTGTGGTCAAGTGTTGTATAGTGAACGAAAATTTTTCTTCCTCCCTATGAATCCAAATACGTCGTCAAAGTTGTTATAAAGTACGAAAAGTTTTTCTTCCTCTGTATGACAACGAATCCTGGTCGCCAAAGTTGTTATAGAGTAGTTTCACAGTGGAGGCTTGTATTTCATTAAGTCGGTCCTAAAAAAAAAGACGTATAAAACGATAGAACTTGATATAATAGTTAATGACGCAGCAATCTAGTTGTGGTGGTTGATACTTTAATGTCCGACATCGACTGACTCACCAACTCACTGAAAGTATTTAGTCACTGAAGACCACGAGGGCATCATGTAGCACAAGGCCGGTTTATGTGAGATCTCCGAATAGGTGGGTATTAGTAAGAAAGTATGCCCTTTGAACCCACAAAAACGGGTTCAAGGACGATTTACCTCCCCGAAAGAGACTCCGCCCTTCAGCGTAGCCTCGTTCAGGTTCCTCCACCGAAGGCAAAGTTCAACCGGTCATGCTCGTCCGACTTCAGACTGAACTCGGACCAACTGCCTGAAAATCTGGCGACTGCTACTACTACTACTCATTATAGGTTGGAGAGTCTATTAACTATAGAATAGATGTGTTCCAGTATAACAATTTGTCAGGAAGGCGACTTCCTGGTGTTATCAGACTGGACAGCATACGGCACCTTTGGAAAGTACCTGAAAGCCATACCATACATAGCCTTGTGATTGAAAGTGTGTAGAGGAAATCTTGTGGGCCGTCAATAGCTGTGCTAGCACGAAGTCACAAGTCACTGTGGCCGAATGTTTGAGCGTGATGGCCTTGTTCAAATTGTTGATCACGCTGGATGACATGCTCTCTCCTAGAAACTGTAACTAAGGTCTGCTCAGCATAGCTACAGTATAAACCACAGACAGGCTCTGTGGGTGTTAAGCAAATACAAATGTGCCTGAGCGAGCGTCTGCAATAGGGATTGTCTAGCCGCCCTAGTAGATGGGTATCCTCGAATACGAGTGGCCAGCTATTATATTATATATGTATTCATGTATTCACACTTTCCTTCTTTTTGTTACTTCTTAAAAGTATCCCTAATTAATTCATGCACAGAATTGAATAAAAGGATCCAATGGTTTACAATCCTTGCAATCATGCGGAAACTATGCCAGAATGCTAGCCGAGAAATGATCGTTCTTGGATCGGCCTATTGAAAGAGATAGCCTGATGTCATGGACGGCCGAAATTTTCTATGACTCCAGAAGAGACATCACTGAAGAAGCATTCTTGCGCGCAATATATGTATTTAAAACCAACGTACCTCTCTCTCTCTCTCTCTCTCTCTCTCATTCTCTTTCCCTCTCCCTCTGTCTTTCTAAGTCTCTGAAATTACAGGTTGTCCCCAAAACTTTGACATCATTTTAAAAGCAATCATCTTGAAAGCTACTAAGTGTAGCTCAATGAAATTAAACAAGTTTAGGTGTTGAACCTCATAAGTATATTCTGAGACCGATTTCATAAGTGTTTACTATGTGTACTGTCTGTGTCACCGCAAACGTCAAGTCAGTAAGTTGTTGCCAAACACGCTGTAGCATGTGTCCGGTAACATTATCCAGTGGGGAAGTGACATCAATGGTAACAGGATGACGGGGGAAAAGACCAATCCCTTCTCATATCTCCATAAAAAGAAATCAACTGTCTTCATCTCTACCACAACTTTCTTTCCCTCTAACGTGCTCGACCGAATTTTATTTTTCGAACGCTTTTTGTCCAGGGAGGGGGACTTTATGAAAGTCAAAATAAAGTATTTTATATTCCAAAGTGTATTAAACAGAGTGGATGAAAAATATCGTTAAGTTTTTCCACTTCTTTATTTGTTTCCAAAAACACCCCAGGGAACGAAACGGGTTGGTAAAGAAATATTTTCCCTTTCTCTCTTTTCATATTATCTTTTTACAGATATACATTTTATTTATATTTGAATTCATAGACACACACACACACACACACACACACACACACACACACACACACACACATGTATATACAGGGTGTCCCAAAAAATTGACATCATTTTGAAAGCAATTATCTTGAAAGCTACTAAGTCTAGCTCAATGAAATTTAACAGTTTAGGTGTTGAACATCATAATTTTATTATGGGACCGAATTCATAAGTGTTCAATATATGCAGCGTCTGTGACATGGCACACGTGAAGTCGGTCGTTAAGCTCTTGCCAAACACGTTGTAGCATGACTTCGGTAACATTATCTGCTTGAGTTCATCAATGTTAGCAGGAAGAGAGAGGGTACATAGACCATTCCTTTCTCATATTTCCCATAAAAAGAAATCACACGGAGACAGGTCCGGTAACCGCGGCGGCCATTTCATTAGAAAACAGTCTTCATCTCCACAACGCCCAGCCAATCTACCTGGCAGATTCTCATTGAGATAAGCACGTAATGTCCTTTTTTCATTAAACATAAAATCTTGATCTGTTTCTATGCATACTGTGAAAATCAGAGTTTATTTCAACAAGAATTACCAAATTTATTGGCCGGCGAAATAATGTCGACTTTTTGGGACACCCTTTATATTTTTTTACCTCTATTATGATTTTATTCTCTCCTCCTTCCTTTGTCAGTTTTTTCTCACTTTATTGAATTTTTCTCTCTTATTCTTTCTCATATTCGCGTTTTTCTCTTCTCTTTTCTTGCTCCAACTTCAGTCTACGTACTTCTCTCACCCTCTCTCTTTCTCTGCCTCTCTCTTTCTAATTCTCTGAAAATATATTTTTCGTTTTCCTTTACCTCATTCCTCTCCCTCATTTCCTTTGCCAGCTTTTCTTACTTTTTTTTTGTCTTTTTCTCTCCCATTCTTTTTCTTTTTTTCTGTTTACTTCGTTTTGGATTACATCCTTTTCTCTCTTTCAATTGTTTCCCTGTCTTTTTTTTCCATTTCTATTCTTTCTAATTATCCTTCAACTCTTTAGTAACAGACTCCCCTCTCCTTGTAGTTACTTCCTTTCTTATTCTCTTTTTTCTCTCTTTTTCTAATTCTCTACCTTCTTTCTAATTCTAAATTTCTAGTTTTCTCTCTTTCTTTCCTTCAGTCTTTGTATTTATTTCTCTCCCTCTTTTCGATTCTCTTATAAATCTCCCTGATTTTACATTTTCTCTTTCTTCTCTCTTCTAATTCTCTTACCTCTCTCTCTGAGTGAATTACTTCTCTCTTTCTTATTCTCTCTCTCTAATTCTCTCCCTGTCTTTCTAATTCTATCTTTCTAATTCTCTCTCTTTGCTAATTCCCATGACATTCACGAGAAAACACTCTCTCCTTTCTCCCTCTCTTTCCTAATTATTTTCTGAAAATATATTTTTCTCACAAAAATTATCTCATTCTCTTTCTGATTTCCCCTCCCCCTCTCAAATTCTTACTTTTTTTGATAGGTTTTATGAATCTCTTTCTCTTTCTTTTTTGCGTAAAGAATTTTCTCCCTTTCATCTTCCTTTCTAATTCTCTGACACAAATTTTTTATCCTCTCTCTTTTCAATTCAATAAATCACTAAACTGTAATTCTCTTTCTCTCTAAAACTTTCCGCTTTCTCATTTTTTTTTTTTTTCTTCTCTCTACATTCTTTCTCTTCTAATTCTATCTTATTTCTCTTTCTAAATAAATCTCTCTATTTATTTATGATTAATTATATTTAGATCTCTATCTCTCTCTTTCAGTCTTGGTTTGGTTCTTTTCTTTTCTTTCTCTCTTCTTAAAGTCTTTCCTAATTGTTCTCTCTCTCTCTCTCTCTCTTTTTCTAATTTTTTTCTTTCCTCTCTATACGAAAGTGATTCTCTCTCTCTCTTTCCTTCTGAAAATTTAATTCTCTTTTCCTTACTGTCTTTTATTACCTTTTTCAGTTTCTTTCTTTTTTGTTTTTTATCCCTTTCTCTCTTTCATTCTTCTCTCTTTTTCTTCTCTTGGCTTCATCTTTCTCTCTCTCTCTTTCTAATTCTCCCCCTCTTTCGATAATTCCTCTCTCTTTCTTTTTGTAATTCTCTCTTTTTCTAATTATCCCCTCCCTTTCTAATTCTCTCTCCTTTCACTTTCTGTTGGTCACTTCTGAAATCTCTCTCTCTTTCGGTCTAATTCGTTCTTTTTCTCTTAATCTCCCGTCCTCACTGATTCTCTCTCCTTCTCTCTTCCCCCTCTTTCATTTGATCTCTTTTATCTACCTGTTCTCTCTCTTTTCTCTCTTTTCTCATTCTCTCTCTCTTTCTTTTTTGTTTTTTCCGTCTCCCTTGATTGTCTCCTCTCTCTCTTTCTTTCGTTCTCTTTCTCTCTCTATTCACTTCTGATCTCTCTTCTCTCTTTCCCCTTCGTTCTTTTCCCTACTCTCTCTTTATCTTTTTGATTCTCTCTTTCTTTCCCCCATTATCTTTCCTTTCTCTCTTTCTTTCTCTTTTTTGTTGTCTTCCCCCCTCTCTCCTCTCTCTCTCTTTTCTTTTTCTCTCTCTTTGTCTTTCTCTCTCAAAATGTGATTCTCTCACTTTCTCTCTCTTTCTAATTCGTTCTCTTTCTCTTACTCTCTTTTTATCTTGTGATTCTTTCATTTTCACTCTCCCCTCCTCTATTTTTTTTCTCTTTTATCTTTCCGTCTCTTTTTGATTATCAGTCTTTCTCTCTTTCTTTTCTTCTTCTCTTTCCGTCTCACTTTCTGATTCTCTTCTCTCTTTCTAATTCGTTTCCTTTATTTAAATATTTTCTGTGTCTTTCTCTCTCTTTCTGATTCTCCCCTTATCTCTTTCTTTCTCTCTCTTTCTCTTTTCCGTCTCTTCTCTTTCTCTTTCTCTCTCTTTCTAAATTTTTTCTCTCTTTCCTCTGCCTATTTATCTCTCTCTAATTCTCCTTTCTACTCTCCCCTCCCCCTCTATTTATCTCTCTCTCTTTCTAATTCTCTCACTTTCTCTCTTTCTCCCTCTTTTTGATTATCTCTCCTTTCTCTTTTTATTTCTCTTTCTTGTTCTTTCTTTTTTTATCCCCTTTCTCTCTCTTGTCTCTCTCTCTCTCTCTCCCCGTTCTCTTTTCACCTCTGTATTTATCTATGTGATTCTCTCACTTTCTCTCTCTCCCCTCCTCCTCTGTTGATTCTCTCGCTTTTCTTTTGTCTTTCAGTCTCTTTTTGATTATCAGTCCTTTCTCTCTTTTTCTCTCTCTGTGTCTTTCCGTCTCCCCCCTCTCTCTTTCAAATTCGTTCTCTTTCACTTACTCTGTATTTATCTATGTGATTCTCTCATTCTCTCTCTCCTCCCCTCCCCTCTATTGATTCTCTCTCTCTCTCTTTTTGTTGTCTTTCAGTCTTTTTTAATTATCAGTCCCTTTCTCTCTTTTTCTCCCTTTTTTGTCTTTCTGTCCCATTATCTCTCTCTCTCTTTCTAATTCGTTCTCTTTCTAATTTCCTCTCTGTATTTATCTATGATTCTCTCTTTTCTCTCTCTCTCCTCCTCTATTTGATTCTCTCTCCTTCTCTTTTTGTTGTCTTTCAGTCTCTTTTTGATTCTCCCCTCTCTTTTCTCTCTCTTAATGTCTTTCCGTCTCACTCTGAGATCTCTCTCTCTCTCTCTTTCTAATTCGTTCTCTTTCACTTACTCTGTATTTATCTATGTGATTCTCTCACTTTCTCTCTCTCCCCCTCCTCCTCTATTTGATTCTCTCTCGCTTTCTCTTTTGTTGTCTTTCAGTCTCTTTTTGATTATCAGTCCTTTCTCTCTTTCTTTCTCTCTCTTAATGTCTTTCCGTCTCACTCACTGATCTCTCTCTCTCTCTTTCCTAATTCGTTCTCTTTCACTTACTCTCTATTTATCTATGTGATTCTCTCTTTCTCTCTCCCCACCCCTCTCTCCCTCCCCTCTATTTGATTCTCTCTCCTTTTCTTTTGTTTGTCTTTCAGTCTCTTTTTTGATTATCAGTCCTTTTTCTCTTTCTTTCTCTCTTAATGTCTTTCCGTCTCTTTCTAATCTCTCTCTCTCTTTTCTAATTCGTTCTTTTCTTTTTCTCTCTATTTATCTATCTGTTCTCTCTCCCTTTCTCTCTCTCCTCCTCTGTTGATTCTCTCTCTTTTTCTCTTTTGTTGTCTTTCAATTTCTCTTTTTTGATTATCCTTTCTTTCTTTCTTTCTCTCTCTTTCTATCTTTCCGTCTCTTTCACTCTCTCTTATCTCTCTCTCTCTTTCTAATTCTTTCTCTTTCTAATTCTCTCTTTCTTTTTCTCTCGCTCTCTCTCTCTCCCCCCCCTCTATTCTCTCCCTTTTCTCTTTTGTTTTCTTCTTCTTTTTGATTCCCCCTTTCTTTCTTTCTTTCTCTCTCTTTGTCTCTCTCTCCTCACTGATCTCTTTCTCTTTCTCTTTCTCAATCTCTCTTTCTAATTCTAATTTATCTATATGATTCTCTCCTTTCTCTCTCTCTCTCTATTTGATTCTTCTAATTCTCTTTTGTTGTCTTTCAGTCTCTTTTGATTATCAGTCTCCTTTCTCTCTTTCTCTCTCTTAATGTCTTTCGTCTCACTCACTGATCTCTCTCTCTCTTTCTTCCGTTCTCTTTCCATTCTCTCTATTTATCTATGTGATTCTCTCTTTCTCTCCCCCTCTCTCTTTGTAATTCTCTCTCTTTCTCTTTTTGTTTGTCTTCCACTCCTTTTGATTATCAGTCCTTTCTCTCTTTCTTTCTCTCTCTTAACATCTTTCCGTCTCAAAAGATCTCTCTCTCTCTCTTTCTCTCTTTCAATTCTCCCCTCTGGCTTTTTGCTAATTTTTCTCTCACTTTCTTCTCCCCCTCTTTCTATTTTTTTCTCTCTCCTTTCTCTTTTGTTGTCTTTCAGTCTCTTTTTTGATTCTCAGTCCTTTCTTTCTTTTCTTTCTCTCTCTTAATGTCTTTCCTCTTTTCTTTTGTGTTCTCTCTTTTCCCCTTTCTTTCTAATTCTCTCTTTCTCTTTTCTACTGTATTTTTCTTTGATTATTCTTCTCTCTTTCTAATTCTCCTCCCCTTTCTTTCTAATTATCTCTTTTTCTCTTTCTAATTCTCCCTTCTCTTCTTTTTATTCTCTTTCTCGTTCTTTTCTTTCTCTTTATCCTTCGTCTCTCTTTCTAATTCTCCCCTTTTTTTTCTCTCTTTTCTTTCTCTTTTATCTAATTCTTTCTTTTTCTCCTCTTTTCTAATTCTCTCCCTGTCTCTTTCTTTTCTCTCCTTTTATTTATCCTTTCTCTTTTAAATCAGTTCTTTCTCTCTTTTTCTCTCTCTTTATGTCTCTCTCTCTTGTCTTTCTATCTCTCCCCCTCTGTCTTCTTTTTTTAATTATCTGTCTCTTTTTCTTTCTCTCTCTTTTCTTTTTTTAATTATCTCTCTCTTTTTTTCTCTTGTTTTTCTAAAAATCTCTCTTTTTTTCCTTCTTTCTAATTTCTCTCTCTTTCTCCTTCTCCCTTGTCTTTCCGTCTTATCTCTCTCTCTTTCTAATCTCTCTTTCTAATTCGTTCTCTTTCAATTCTCTCTGTTTATCTGTGTCTCTCTCTCTTTATCTCTCTCTCCCCTATTTCTCTCTCCTTCTAATTATCTCTCTCTCTTTCTAATTCTCCCTTGTTTTCTCTCTTTCTTTCTAATGTCTCTCTCTTTCTCACTCACTCTAATTCTCTCTCTTTCTAATTCTCCTTGTTTTTCTATTCTCTCTCTCTTTCTAATTCTCTCAAAGAAAATTATCTTTCTCTAAACAGAAGAAATGTCCTTCGTAAATTTCTCTCTCTTTCTAATTCTCCCCTTGTCTTTCTAATTATCTCTCTCTCTCTTTCTAATGCTCTCTCTTTCTAATTATCTCTCTTTCTAATTCTCCCCTTGTTTTCTAATTATCTCTCTCTTTCTAATTCTCTCTCTTTCTAATTATCTCTCTCTCTTTCTAATTCTCCCCTTGTCTTTCTAATTATCTCTCTCTCTTTCTAATTCTCTCTCTTTCTAATTATCTCTCTCTCTTTCTAATTCTCCCCTTCTCCTTCTAATTATCTCTCTCTTTCTAATTCTCCCCTTGTCTTTCTAATTATCTCTCTCTCTTTCTAATTATCTCTCTCTCTTTCTAATTCTCCCCTTGTCTTTCTAATTATCTCTCTCTCTTTCTAATTCTCTCTCTTTCTAATTATCTCTCTCTTTCTAATTCTCCCCTTCTCTTTCTAATTATCTCTCTCTCTTTCTAATTATCCCCTTGTCTTTCTAATTATCTCTCTCTCTAATTCTCTCTCTTTCTAATTATCTCGAAAGAAAGAAATTTAGACAAACCGGATATAATTCTCCCTTCTCTTCTCTAATTAACTCTCTCTTTCTAATGCTCTCTCTTTTCTAGTTTTTTTTTCTCTTTTGCATTCTCCCCTCAATTCCTTCAAATTTATCTCTCTCATTCTTATTCTGCCCTTCTATTTAAAAACTTTCTAAAAATTTTCTCTTTCTAATTCTCTCTTATTCGTCAGAATCCCTTCTCGAAATAAACTCTCTCTTTGTTTTTTTCCTCTTCTTTAAAATTAATTGTGGTCTCTCTTTCTAAAAGAAAAGTCTTTTAAGATAATTATCTTGAGAAGAAAAGTCTTTCTAAGAAAGGCATTCTCTTTAGAATTAGAATCTCTCTTTCCTAATTCTCCCCTTCTCTGTGAGGGATTTCTCTCTTTCTAATTCTCTGTCTTTCTAATTTTCTGCCTTTCTAATTTCCTCCCATTTTTGTTTTTCTGACTTTCCTCACAGATTTTTTTTGTTTTTTCTACGTCATTTTCGTATCTGCATTCTGTACACATTGTATACAAAATAGTGTACTGTAATCTAAAGAAATATACACAAAATGAAATAAATTATAACTAACGAAAACTAAAATTCAAACATTCAGCCAAAAAGATAGAAAAAAAAGGGATAAACAATTTTCCGTCTTTTCAAGACAGCTGCAGTATAGTGATACAAATGGTGGCCAGTATATTGTCATGCACTTCCGGTTGGCTACACGCGCCCTGCGGAGTGTAAAATCGCGCCTAAATCGGCAGCGCCACCTGTTGAGAGGCGATGACACTGTTCAGCTCTTCTCCAGTTATTTATCACTTCCCAGTGACAAGATGCGTCCGGCTAAGACGCACGCAACATGAACGATTCACCGTTGGCAAAATGGCAGAAGTTGAAAGAAAATTAACTAAACGCTTAATCAAAGTTAGAGGAAAAGAAAGAAGATAAGTGAAGAGGAAGATAGGAAAGAAAAGGAAGGGAAGACGAGGAAAAGAAAAGGGGAAAGAACAAAGGGAGCAGAAACGAGACAAAAAAAAGAAAGTGATCTACAAGAAATAAAAAGGAGGCCGAGAAAAAGAGGGTGATTTAAAACTGGAAAAAAAGAAAGAAAAAAAAAAGAAAGAAAGGAGCATCGGGAAAAGTTATCAAGAATGAAGTGCGATAATAAACAAGAGAATTTAAAGGTATAAAAGAAAATAACTGAATAAAAGAAAGAAAGAAAGAAAGAAAGAAAGAAAGAAAGAAAGAAAGAAAGATAATGTAGAAAAACGTCGGGAAAAATTTATTCAAAAAAAGACGATGAAAACAAGATGATTTAAGAATTTAAAAGTGAATAAAACAAAGAAAGAAAGAAAGAAAGAAAGAAAGAAAGAAAGAAAGAAAGAAAAAAGAGCATCGGGAAAAGTTATCAAGAAAGAAGTGCGATAATAAACCAGAGAATTTAAACGTAAAAAAGAAAATAAATGAATAGACGAAATGAAAAGAAAGAAAGAAAGAACGAAAGAAGGAAAGAACTAAAGAAATAGAGAAAGAACGAACGACGGTTAAAAAACAATAAAAGAGAAAAACAAGAGGATTTAAAAGTGTAAACGAGAAAGAAAGGAATAGGAGAAAGAAAGAAATAAAAAAAGTAAAAGAAATGAGGAAATACGAAAAGAAAAAGAAAGAAAGAAAAGAAAGAAAGAAAGAAAGAAAGAAATATTGGTAAGGATAATGAGAAATACAAGTAGAAGAAAGAAAAAGAAAGAAAGAAAAGAAAGGAAAAAGAAAAAAAGAAAGAAAGAAAGAAATAAAGAAAGATAAGAAAATAAAGGAAGAAAAAAAAAGAAAGAAAGAAAGAAAGAAAGAAAGAAAGAAAAAGAAAGAAATTATCAAAAAGGGAAAAATAATAAAAACGAAGATTTAAAAATGTAAATAGAAGAAAGGAAAAGAAAGAAAGAAAGAAAGAAAGAAAGAAAGAAAGAAAAGAAAGAAAGAAAGAAAGAGAAAGAAAAAAGAAAGAAAAAAGGGAAAAAAAGAAAGAAAGGAAATAAAAAAGAAAGAAAGAAAAATGAAAAATAGAGAAAGAAAGAAAGAAAAAAGGAAGAAAAAGAAAGAAAGAAAGAAATAAAGAAAAGAAAGAAAGAAAGAAAGGAATAGAGAAAGAAAGAAAGAAAAGAAAGAAAGAAAGAAAGAAAGAAAGAAAGAAAGAAGGAATAGGAGAAAGAAAGAAAAAGAAAAAGAAAGAAAGAAAGGAATAAAGAGAAAGAAAGAAAGAAAGAAAGAAAGAAATATTGGAATGGAAAAGAAAATGAGGAAATAGGAGAAAGGAAAGAAAGAAAGAAAGAAAGAAAGAAAGAAAAAAAAAGAAAGAAAGAAAGAAAGAAAGAAAGAAAAGGAATAGGATAAAAAAAGAGGAAAGGAAAAGGAAAAGAAAGAAAGAAAGAAAAGAAAAAAGAAAGAAAGAAAGAAAGAAAGAAAGGAAAGAAAAGAAAGAAAGAAAGAAAGGAAAGGGAAAAGAAAGAAAGGTTAAGAAAGAAAGAAAGAAAGAAAAAGGAGAAAGGGAAAGAAAGAAAGAAAGAAAGAAAAAAAAGAAATTTAAAATAAACGAAAGAAGAAAGGAAAGAAAAAAAAGAAAGAAAGAAAAAAAGAAAGAAAGAAAGAAAGAAAAGAATAGGAAGAAAGAAAGAAAGAAAGAAAGAAAAAACCTAGGAGAAAGAAAGAAAGAAAGAAAAAAAGGAACGGCGAAAAGTTAGGAAAAAAGAAAGAAGAAAGAAAGAAAGAAAAAAGAAAGAAAGAGAAAAAAGAAAGAAAGAAAAGAAGAAAGAAAAA